GCGCAGGGCTCACGCCTGCGGCTCCCGGGCGCCGCTCAGCGCCAGGGCGCGGGCGTAGACCTGCTTGCGCGGCAGCCCGCTGGCCGCCTGCACCGCCTTGACCGCGTCCTTCAGGCTGCCGCCGGCGGCCAGCGCCGCGCGGAGCTGGGCGTCGAGCTGCTCCGGCCCGACCGCCTCGGCGGCCGGCGGGCCGACCAGCACCACGATCTCGCCCTTGGGCTGCGCCGCCTCGGCATAGGCGGCGGCCAGCGCGCCCAGCTCGTCGCGCCGCAGCTCCTCGAACAGCTTGGTCAGCTCGCGCGCCACGGCCGCCTGGCGGTCGGCGCCCAGCACCGCGGCCATGTCGGCCAGGCTGGCGGCGAGGCGCTGCGGCGCCTCGAAGAAGACCAGCGTGGCCGGGACCGCCTTCAGCTCCTCCAGCCAGCGCTGGCGCGCGGCCGACTTGGGCGGCGGGAAGCCGGCGAAGCAGAAGCGGTCGCTCGGCAGGCCGGCGGCGACCAGCCCGGCGAGCACCGCCGAGGCGCCCGGCACCGGCACCACGCGCACGCCCGCCTCGATGGCGGCGCGCACCAGCTTGTAGCCGGGGTCGGAGACCAGCGGCGTGCCGGCGTCGCTGACCAGCGCCACCGTCTCGCCCCTTTTGAGCGCTTCGATCAGTTTCGGTCGCACGCGCGCCGCGTTATGTTCGTGGTAGGCGACGAGAGAACGATCGGGGCGGTCGAGGCCATGGGCCTGCAGCAGTCGACGGGTATAGCGCGTGTCCTCGCAGGCGAGGAGGTCGGCCTGGTCCAGCGTGGCCAGGGCGCGCAGCGTGACGTCCGCGAGATTGCCGATCGGGCAGGCCACCAGATGCAGGCCCGGGTCCAGCGGCTTCAGCGGCGTGGTCACGCGCAGCAGGCCCGCCTCCGCCCCCGGCGCGGCGGTTTCGGCCGCAGCCTCGGAGTCGCCTTCGGTTTCACCAGCGGGAGCGGATCGTGATCCCTTCATGCCTGCCCTTCGTTTCGGTGCCGCGCCCGGCGCGCGCCGTCGCTCTGTTCGGGGTTCTGCTGCTCGGCCTGTCGGCCTGCAGCGGCGCGAATGATGCCGCACCGCAGAGCGGCGGACAAACGCCGACGCCGCCGACCGCCCAGCGCGCGCCCGAGCCGACGCCGCCGCCGGAGCCGCCGCGTGCGCCCGGCGAGGCCAGCGTGGCGCTATTGCTGCCGCTGAGCGGCCAGCAGGGCACCCTGGGCCAGGCGCTGCTGAACGCCGCGCAGATGGCGGTGTTCGACGTCGGCGGCGAGAGCTTCGAGCTGACGGTGCACGACACCACGGGCCGGCCCCAGGGCGCCGAGCAGGCCATGCAGGCGGCGCTCGACCAGGGCGCCGACCTGGTGCTCGGGCCGCTGTTCTCCGCCTCGGTGGCGGCCGGCGCGCCGCGCGCGCGCAGCCGGCAGGTGCCGGTGATCGCCTTTTCCAACGACCGCAGCGTGGGCGGTCGCGGGGTCTGGGTGATCGGCCTCGACCCGGCCGCGCAGGTCGACCGCGTGGTCGACTACGCCACCCGCCAGGGGCTGACGCGCTTCGCCGCCCTGGCGCCGCGCAACCCCTACGGCGACACGGTGCTGCAGGCGCTGCAGCAGGCGGCGGCGCGCTACGGCGGCTACGTCGCCCAGGTGGCGACCTACGACCCGCGGGCGGTCAACGAGGCCGGGCCGGTGGTGCGCCAGCTCGCTGCCGCGCGCGGCAGCTACGACGCACTGCTGATCCCGGCCGGCGGCAACGAGCTGCTCGGCCTGGCGCCGCTGCTGCCCTACTACGACATCGACCCCGCCGAGACCCAGTACCTCGGCACCCAGCTCTGGGAGGACCCCGGCCTGGGCCGGGAGAACGCCCTGGTCGGCGGCTGGTTCGGCGCGCCGGAGCGCGAAGGCTGGACCCAGTGGGCGGCGCGCTACCGCGAGCTCTACGGCGAGACGCCGCCGCGCCTGGCCTCGCTGGCCTACGACGCCACGGCCCTCGCCGCGGTGCTGGCGCGCGAGGCCGGCCAGGCCGGCCAGGCACCGGACTACGCCACCGCCGAGCTGACCGATCCCAACGGCTTCGCCGGGGTCGACGGCATCTTCCGGCTGAGCGGCGACGGCACCGCCGAGCGCGGGCTGGCGGTGCTGGAGCTGCAGCGCGACGCCATCGAGCTGCGCGAGGCCGCGCCCCGCAGCTTCCAGCGGGTCGGCTCCTGAACGCCGCCGGCAGGCCGCACCGCCCATGATCGCCGTGATCTTCGAGCTCACCCCCAAGCCGGGCCGGCGCGACGACTACCTGGCGATGGCCGCCGAGCTGCGCCCGCTGCTCGAGCAGGCCGACGGCTTCATCTCGATCGAGCGGTTCGAGAGCCTGTCGCAGCCGGGCAAGCTGCTCTCCCTGTCGATCTGGCGCGACGAGGCGGCGGTGCGCGCCTGGCGCTGCACCGGCCAGCACCGCGCGGCGCAGGCCTGCGGCCGGGCCGAGCTCTTCAGCGACTACCGCCTGCGCGTGGCCGGGATCATCCGCGACTATGGCCTGGCCGAGCGCGACCAGGCGCCGGCGGATTCCCGCGCGCTGCACGACGCGGCCAGCGAGTTCTGAGCCGCGCCGGCGCAGCGGTACGGCGGCCGGTGCGGCGGCAGGCGCCGTGAGAAAGCGGGGACGCCGGGGACAGCGGCTTTGACGGGGGCCGCGGGCGCTGATACTTCAAACCCCATGCAGCAGCCCGTCCGCATCGCCCCCTCGATCCTCTCCGCCGATTTCGCCCGCCTGGGCGAGGAAGTGCGCGCGCTCGACGCCGCCGGCGCCGACTACATCCACGTCGACGTGATGGACGGCCACTTCGTGCCGAACATCACCCTCGGCCCGCAGGTGGTCGCCGCGCTGCGGCCCCATTCGGCCAAGCCCTTCGACGTGCACCTGATGATCGCGCCGGCCGACCCCTACATCGAGGCCTTCGCCGAGGCCGGGGCCGACATCCTGACGGTGCACCCGGAGGCCGGGGCCCACCTGCACCGCACGCTGCAGCTCATCAAGGCCTGCGGCAAGAAGGCCGGCGTCTCGCTCAACCCCGCCACGCCGGTCTCGGTGGTCGAGCCGGTGCTGGACCTGCTCGACCTGATCCTGGTGATGAGCGTCAATCCGGGCTTCGGCGGCCAGAAGTTCATCCCCCAGGCCCTGGACAAGCTCAGCGCCCTGCGCCGCCTGATCGACGAGAGCGGCCGCGCCATCGACCTGGAGGTCGACGGCGGCA